AAAAGTTTGATCATCTTGCACAAGAATTAGTATTTCGGGTGTGTTTGTATCCAAATATATCTTCTCAAAATGAGTTATATTTTTGTTAATCATGGTTAATTTTGAGAAAAAAGATGATATGGTTACTTGTTACTTGTTTAGTGAGATTTTGAGTCTAAATTAGGGCGTGTTTGTATACAAATATATCTGCTCCAAATGATTTTTTTTGTTAACCATGGTTAATTATGAAAAATATAATATAGTTAGTTGTTAATAAGATTTTGAGTTTCTATTAAAATAATATTTAATACAAAGTATTTAAAGTTCATTTGAAAAATATGAGAGATGATATACTTGTTGGTTAGTTAAAATTATGTCAGTAGATGAATAATGAAGTAAAGTATTTAACTATATTAATAATATTGAAAATAGTGCCACACAAAGGGGTTGCATAAAAAAGCCTTTTTTCTTTCGAATATTTGTCCGCAATCAACTAATTAAACACTGCATATGTTGACAACAAAATATAAATCAACTCAAATTGCATATTTTTTTTTTCCAAAATTTATTTGAACTACAAATAGTCATGTTGTCACAGACCAGTGGTTGACTATTTAATGCCACTGCAAAGTAGATCAACAGAGAGCAAAAGGTGGGGGGCAAACATGCCTTAACATGCGCAATTTTCCCTATAGTTTATTATTTGAAGTTCCGAAAGCATTGACAAACACAATTTAACCGATTCGATTATTTGAAAATATTATTTGATTTTTTTTTTGACAAAGAGACAAGGAATAGTTGAATTAAGAAGGTATGCTACATTTAATAAATGGTAGTATGGCTGATGAATCAATTGACAAGGAGGTACAACCATAGTCTTCATCAACATCAGACATACATGGAGGTGTAAAAGAGTCGAGTCAAACTCGAGTTTTTGATACTCGATCTCGGGATATAACTCGAGTCTTTATCAAGTTGAGCCGAGATTGACCCGTTCACTTAAATAATTGATAAATGAGCCCGAACTCGACCAGCTTATCAATATAAATGAGTTGAACTCGGGCAGAAGTGAGATAGAATTTTAAAAGCTACATTTATGAGCCAAAAATTCGGCTTGACACACCAACTAATAGAAATCGAGCTCAAACTCACTCATCAATTTGATTTCGAACCTTTAACTAGTTGAGCAGAGCTCGCAATGTTGAAAAACAATTGCCTTTTTTTCTCCACGAACTTTGACATTGATCCGTTAAAATTGCACCACGTGTCCTTGTGAAGGCAAAAATGATATATTGATAATAAATCTCCCCTAGTGCAAGTGAGTTTCTTCATCTCCAAGAGGAAAAAGATAAATAAACTCAGATTAAGAAATTATAACACACCCCCCCAATTAATTTTAATTTAAGCACTTCAAAATCACTGTTTGAAAACTGCAAATCATTCTTCCTCACCAGCTAAGAACCTAGAGAACACAGTGTCGGCCCCCTCCCAACTGTTCCAAATTTAAGGTACAGCGGATCAGTCATTAGGTAGCCCATCAACAACTGCCATAAAATCTCGCCACTGCATGTATCAAAGAACAAAGAATCGAGCTTGATTGCAAGAACACGAGCAAGAAAGGAGAAAAAATTGCTACTTTTTCTACACTGTTGGCCGGCGACTCAAGATTGGGGAAGGTGTCTGAAGCAGAGTTATGGGCTGCTGTTGTTCGAAATTCCCACCAACCGAGACGCAGCCGGTGAAGGAGAAGTCCCAAAACCTCGGCCCGGCTCCACATGTTACCGGACCGCCGTCGCCGCCCACCGCCCCACCGTCTGGCGGCGGACCTGACCCTGGCGCAGCTCCACCTGGGGTTCCAACGTTTTGCGAGTTTTCCCTCTCTGACCTCAGAACAGCTACGAGTAACTTCAGCCGGGATTTCATAGTCTCAGAAAGTGGAGAAAAGGCCCCTAACGTTGTCTACAAAGGGCGCCTGCAAAACCGCCGGTGGATCGCCGTCAAGAGATTCCCTAAGTCTGCCTGGCCCGACCCGAAACAGTTTGCGGTATTTGCTTACTGTGTTATATGCTTTTGTAATGTTGTGATGAGCTGAGACTTCCTATTTTTTTGTTATATTTTTTTATTTATTTATTTTTGTTTATGTTTCTTATGTGTTGTAGGAGGAGGCATGGGGAGTTGGTAAGTTGAGGCACAGAAGGCTTGCAAATTTGATAGGGTATTGCTGTGAGAGTGATGAAAGGTTGCTAGTTGCAGAGTTCATGCCCAATGATACTCTTGCTAAGCATTTGTTCCACTGTAAGCTTTTGTTCTTTATCCTTGTCTGTTGTATAGATTTGATATAGTTACCCTTAAAGAAATTGTAGCTTTGCAGCTGTTAGTTTGTAGCTGTATTGTATTACTCAGTCGCCGTGTTACTACTTACGATTTTGATGGTCATATTGGGTAGATTTCTGTGATTCTATGAAGTCTTTATGTTAAGTAACCTCAATTTTCTATGGCTCATATCTATTATGATTTGAAGGCAGTAATCTGATGATCAAGGTAAGGGCACAATGTTTCTTTGTGTGATTTCTTACCGAGTTGATATTTGATGAAAACATGCTAACAAGCATAACACGTGTGATTTGATAGGGGAAAAGCAGACCATTGAGTGGGCTATGCGCTTAAGAGTGGCACTTTATATAGCTGAGGCCTTAGAATATTGTATTAGTGCCGGCCATTCGTTGTACCACGACCTCAATGCATACAGGATTCTCTTTGACGAGGTGATTTTCGTAATTCTGCGTAAAAATTTGAAGGACCTGTTGGTGGCCAATGTAATTATCTATAGAACTTGATAAGAGGAATAAAAAAAAAGAAAACCAAAGTTGGCTGGATTTTTTTCAGGAAGGCGATTCTCGGCTTTCATGTTTTGGCCTCATGAAAAATAGCCGGGATGGAAGGAGTTATAGCACAAATCTTGCCTACACTCCACCTGAATATTTGAAAAATGGTGATTTATCCTATCCTACTTCTCTCTCTCTCTCTCTCTCTCTCTGGTTGTGCATAACTTGTGTGCTTCATTATCATGGAATTTACGAGACAGCTACTTATCTTGGAATTTACAGAACAGCTATTCTTACTTCATAGTTTTAAGTTTACTCTTTTGTTTCTTGATTTGTAATGAAATCAACTTTCTGAATATGGGCAAATAAGATTGTATATTTGAAGCAGTTGAGATACTATTAATCCAGCAATTGGGTGTGTACTTGACAAGTTTTGCATGATATATATCTCCATTTTTCTTGCCCTGTGTGCGCTCAATCAGCAATTGTGAAGTGGTTCTTTGAATCGAATATATATTGAAGGGCAATGGGCACCATAAATCTGGCATCAATTTAGAATTTTGTAAGATAATGCAAAGAATGATGAATAACTTTAAAAGTTTTACAATTTAACTTACTCTAGTAAACATTTCTTTAAGTCTACCAGCTAAGAAAAATACAATTTTCTTTAAATGCTCGACTAATATCTTCTGGACTGTTAAACTACTGTATTATACTCTTCTTTGCACTAAAAAAAAAAAATAAAAAAAAAAATACTGTATTATACATGAAATACTTTGATATTTACTGTTTCCTTCTAGGAAGAGTTACCCAAGAAAGTGTGGTATACAGTTACGGTACAGTCCTCTTGGATCTGCTGAGCGGTAAACATATACCTCCGAGCCACGTGAGTATTTGTTTCTCGTATTTGATTCAATTTCATTTCATTTGGTTATTTCTGTAGAGCTTTTGTGATGCCAATTAACTCAAACAAGAATCTGTGTGTAGGCTCTTGATATGATACGCGGTAAAAACATGATAATTTTGATGGATTCGCATTTAGAGGGAAAATTTTCTTCGGAAGAGGCAACAGCGGTTGTGGGTCTCGCCTCTAAATGCCTGCAACACGAACCTAGGGAGAGGCCAAATATAAAAGATCTCGTCACAACTCTTTCCCCTTTACAGCTCAAATCAGACGTAATAAGTTTGTCAAATCCTTTTTTTTTTCGGTTTATTCATATGTTAGCACATTAATTTGGTTATCGGTTTTTTAGGTTCCCTCACTCGTGATGCTCGGAGTTTCTAAGCATGAAGAATCTCCGAAAAGCCCACAACGAGCGCTATCGCCAATGGGTGAGGCGTGTTCGCGAATGGATCTAACCGCAATACACCAAATCTTGGTTACCACTCACTATCGAGACGATGAAGGAACCAATGAGGTGGGATAATAATTTGATTATTGAGTGATGCATTTATTTTCTTTTTGGAATTAAGAAATAAAAAATTTGAGCTCTCCCCTCCCGATTTTCAGTTATCATTCCAAGAATGGACACAACAGATGAGAGATTTGTTGGATACTCGTAAGAGAGGGGATTTCGCGTTTCGTGATAAGGACTTCAAGGTCGCCGTAGATTGTTATTCTCAGGTAGGTTGGGTTCTGTCTGAGTCAATTTCTGACTTTTCTATTCTATTCTGATAAGGGCTACAAACGAAACGAGCCGAGTCGTGCATTGACCTTATCGAGCAGGATTGATTTTTTTAGCTGCTCGAGCTCGACTCGATAAAAAGATACAATCGCTCAAAGTCGGCTCGAGCTCGACTCGAAATCAAAATGCTCGAGTTCGGCTCAAAAATTTGAGTAGAAAAATAAAATTACCATTAAGAACCTATGTTATATATATATATATACACAAAAGCTATTTTAGTAATTCAACATATATCTCGAGCCGTTCGACAAAGCAAAATGTGGACTCGAGCTCGACTCGAGTTCGGTCAAACTTGAGCTCGAGTCGAGCTTTGACTCGAGCGCTCGCGAGCGGCTCGGTTCGTTTGCAGCCCTATAAAACTCTATGAAAACTATTTCTTTTTTTTTTTCGGTTGATTTGACAACTCGGTTCTTGCTCTATCATGGTTGATTGATTTCTTTTTAACCAACCGTTTAACACGAAAAGTGCAGTTTATCGATGTGGGAGCCATGGTGTCCCCAACTGTATACGCGCGCCGTAGCTTGTGTTATCTGATGAACGACCAAGCTGATGTGGCACTTCGAGATGCAATGCAAGCACAAATCGTGTATCCCGATTGGCCCACAGCTTTCTACATGCAATCGGTTGCACTCGCCAAGCTGGACATGCACCAGGATGCAGCCGACATGCTCAAAGAGGCGGCTGGGCTCGAAGACAAGCGGCAAAAAGGCGGAGGATCGTAAAAAAGTACAGTAAAATGAAAATAAATTAATCCACTTTTTGCATCATAAATCTTTTTTCGAATTAAACTTTCATTGAGCAGTCAGTTGCTGCTTTCTCGAGTCGAAAAATTGTACTATACGGCACTGTGTATAAACAAGAGTAGATTGATTCTCTCTCTTTCTCTCTCTCTCTCTCTCTCTCTCTCTCTCTCATCT